TGCCTGCCTCTCTCATTAGCATCACGGAAGGGGCTCCCTTTTCAGAACACTGTTATGGGGGGAGTTGAGAGACCTAATGCGAAGATAAACCCATAACAGGATATCCTAGAGGGCGAGATCCAAAGGGCTACGCGCTGACCCAGCCAGGGAAGGAGCGACACTACATGTAGGTAAAGAGCCCTTGGAACAAGTCTTGGGTTCTGCCTGTTTGCGTGCAGTCTTAGCAGAAGACAGTAAGTGAGGTAAGATGTGACCTTGGCAAAGCTCGGGCAATGGTAAAGAATTTGAATGTGATACGGAAGAACAGGCCCATTGCTAAATACCAAGATCAGAGTCTTCAAAGCACTGAGAGCAACGCACAGCTGTGGAAGTTGGACACTTGGAAAGCATTCAAGAGAAAATTGCAAGCATTCGAGACTCTGTGCCGCAGACGGATGTTGACTGTTCCCTGGATCCAAAAGAGATCCAACAAAGGGGATCTCGGGCATATCAGAGTCAGTCCTGAACAGGCTCAGATATTGAAAAAGGAGAAGAAATTGGAATACAACAGGCCTATTCCAAGAAGGTCTTGATCTCGCATCCCTGTGCTGTCCTTCAGACAAGGTTCATAGCTGCTGCTTGATTTAAAGCAGTAGCGTTGGCCTATGGGATATCCGCTGGCCTTCATTGTTTCCTTTCTCTGTTCTGGTGCTCTTATGCATAGCTGTCAGGGAGCAAAGTCTGGAAGGACAATGCTGCTCCCAGCAGCCTCCGGTAGGTGTGAGAAGTCTGAAGTTACTTCCACTTGGCCTAAGCCAGGGGTGTCAAACAAACATCCCACAAGTTAAGGCAAGAGAGTCTTTGCAAGCTCCAGCAGCAGCTTTTGTCCTGTATTCTTGCTCTCTGCTTGTGTTTCTTAGATAAAGCCTCACTGCCTTTATTATGATCTAGCATGCCTTGGATTCCTGTGGATGGGAAGGGATCCAGGACTTCATTTACTGTAAGTATTCACTGAGCATATCAAAGAAGGCTACCTTTCAGGCAGGCGCTGGTCCTAATTCTCTAGAATTAGGCTTTGAATTTCAGAGAAGCTATAAACGCTGTCCAAAAGTGCTACAATAAATTCTCCAGTCTATCGGCTGTTATTCCCATTATTTTTCATTGCGGAGGCTCTCATCTCATAATCCCCCTTGTTTTCTGCCCAGCAGTTTATTGATCCAACTTGGATTAAAGCACTTGATTTGTAATGAGCGGCAGAGGCATGTGCTGGCCTTTGAGGAATGGCACTTCAGAACGGTTGTTCGTGAACTGTGCGGCCTGCACACTTGCGTGCTGACTTTTAAGCAGCCCAGAGTCCGTTAGTGCAAAGAATGCCTCTTAGACCCGCTGCCGTGCGAGCGGCAGGATTGCTAGGTAACCTTAACGCTGAGCTGCCTGGAAATGCGTCACGTATAGCTGAGACCGGTCCTGTGCAGTTAGCATGACTCAGATGCCTTCAGGCCTGAAGAGGCTGTTCAGTTCATTAGTCTGCCTACCCCAGCACAGAGATCCACCCCGGGAGAGTCCTCCTCTTCTGGGTTCTGGAAGAAATGGCATCCATCAACACCACAGGGGAGACCCAGCCCCCTCATCACAGCATCCCTGGGGCTGTTCTGTGCAAAAGGCTTTTAGCAAACGGTTCAGTTTGGACACCATACGCAGCTTCTCCGAAATTCAAAAGGCAAGGATTTCTTCGGGCAGTCTCTTTTATGGGACCAGCTGTTGGGATAGTGTTAGACAAGCGTTTAAATGCAAGACCTCCTCCATCAGGTCCTGATGAAATGGTGCCATAAACGATATCACCCTAAGAAATCCTTGCCTCTTGTATATAATTCCTGGACTTGCCATGGCTGCAATGTCATCACTTTCAACACAGGAATTCAAAGCCAGGCTGCTAGAGTTAGGACAAAGAGGGAACCCGTGTTAAGGTGAGGATTGTGTGCAAGTGCTGTCACCCATGTTTCAGGGGTGTTGGTTGTAGCCGTGCTGGTCTAAGGGCATAGGCAGACAAGGTTCTTTGGGTAAATCTGGTTTCTCTTATTAGACATGCTATAATCCATGTCACTTATAGTGGTCTGTTGAATTAGCAGGCTAAAAAAATACTCTGAGATGAAAGCTTACTCTTCCCAAATCGATGCTTGCTGTTGTGGCCTGGTGTCACTTCTGACATTTTGAACTTAGGAGACTGCTTCTCCAAGGTCTGGCCAGCCACCTGCACCCAGGGGAATGTGGTTGGACCTCAAAAGTGTTTTCAGGTTCTGCCTGCCTTGTGGCTTTTTTGCAGTCAAGTAAAATTCATTGCAAGCTCTGATTCTTACTACAGCTTGTTCCTCCAAGGCCTCTGCTGCTTCTTCAGAGTATCAGGGGTGTGAGAGCATTATCCAGACAGGCAAATAGATGATGTGCCCATTGCAGCAATCCGATGGTCTTGAAAATGTGAGCAGCATGTGGAAGAAGCCATCCTGGGCTGATCTGATTCTGCAGTAAAAGCAGAATTGTCCCCAATAACATGTGCCCCTGCATTGATGTTCCTTGAAGTATAATCAGCTCTGCTGATCTTGGTTTGAAATCTGTATGAGGGGGAGTAGCTGATGTTCAAGAGAATTTTAAAGTTGAATAATCTTGGGAGCTAAGTTTTTTGCATCTGCCTATTGCATCTCTAGATTCTCGGTGAAACTATCATGAGTGTAGTCTCAGGTTGCTATGACCCTTAGTTATGGTGTGCGAGGGGAGCCAGTTTACACTGTAGGCATCAGCGTCATTCAGGCATGCACTGATGCCCTGACCCTCAGCTTTAAATAGTACAAGAACATCAAGCAATCTTAAATCCTAAATACTGTAGTGAGTTCATGCTGATTTAACAGCTATTGCAGTTGCCAAGGACTGTCAGATTTTGCTGCCTGCAGGATGGCACTGACATACATGCCTTTCCTTTTGTCTTTGAGGCTCCCACTTCTGTGAATTTGGGAACAAGCAGCATGAGCAGACGAGATTCCAGGCTGTCACAAATCCCTTTGACCTACTTTCATAATCCCAAGACCGGGCTTTGGCTGCCTTGAGCCTGTTAGAGAAGTTTGCATTGCACAGAAATACACAACCAGCTTGCAGCAAGGCCATGTCTAAAGGCGAGTCCCTTGTTCAGGGCTGGCGAATGGCTTTGGAGAAAGAAGCAGGTCAACTGCTGTTCCCACATGCCACCCTACACCTGCTTCCCTGAGTTAATCACAGGTGCGGAGACAAGTCTGAAGGTAATCGCTATACACGAGTCCTTGGGATGTGCCTTCAAGATGCACGGCGGCCTACTTTGCACTGTCACTATTGTGCAAGTCACCCAGGCTTTTGCTTGGTCATGTCTGAACCGGTTACTCCAGAGCGCGCACACAAAAGCTGCCAAGTCATTTCTTTCAAGTCTTTAAAAATGCAAGGTCAGGTTTTGTTATAAAAGCAGCACAAGTGACTTCACGTGCTGAAGGAGTTTCTGTCATGTGAGATCTCAGCTGGTCGCTGGTCCGGGAGGCACAGGCAGCCCGAGTCAGCGCTTCGGCCAAGCAGGTTGTGCCAAGTCATTGCGTTAAGCTCATTCTTAGCTGCACCGTCTATGAGGAAACCCTCCTGTTTTGCAAGCTGTCAACCTGAAGTTTCCCTTTGTCTTGTTTTTCTAAATGTGATTTGAATTTCTGCTTCCTCAGACAGAGCCAGCTGAAAAGCAACGTGGAGTCTCAAGCAGGAGTTTAACCTACCGGTGCTAGATACGTCTGCCAAGCCTCAAGTGGGGCTTGTTTTAACAGCCTTCTCCGTGGGCTCACAGAGCAGGGAGGGTCTTCCTGCTAACCGCAGCTCCGCGCTGGTATCTGGTGATCGTTTGCCACCGTGTTCACACAGGGTGCTGTATCTTCTGTAAAATCAGCAGTAGCCGGCTGAGCGAGATCTGTGGCATTAAGCTTCTGCATGCCTGGAGCCGCTTTAAGGATTAGCACCTAGATGCTGCCTGTCCAGATAAACAGGAAGCCAGCGAGGGGGCGGAGGTCTGCCTTTCTGTTCTTATAGGCTTTGGGGTGGGGATGCACCTTCCACCTCCCCACCTCTGCTCTGCCTTTTCGCTTCCACCTCCCTCGCACATCCTGGTTTCACCCTGCATCAGCTCTTCTTTCCCCTTTGACCCCTTTGGAAGAGTGTTTGCGTCTATCTCCCTGAGTCTTTGGGTGCAAGGCTGTGTTTTCCCTAATTTAACCCAACCTGAGAGCCACATGCTTAGCAGAATTTCCCCGCTCTGGCCTGGGACTTCCCTGTGTAGCTAGGAAACTCCCCTGAAGGGAGTAGCCCTGAGACTGAAGCAGGCCAGGTACCTAGAGTATGCATGTTACTGTGCTTTATGCAAGCAGTACTCACAAAGTCCACAGCATTCTCAGTGCTGGGTGCTCACCAGCACCGCTTACTGCCATGCCATGTGGCATCCTCTTATCAGCGAGCGATGGTGGATATTGCAACTATTCTAGTGACTGGTGGTGCATTTTCTCTTGTGCTGTAAAGGCCGATGTTCTTCTCGCCACAGTGGTCACAGTGTTAGGAGCTACTGTAGTAATAGGCTGTTCCCCTCTGGCACGTTTCTGTTGGAATTCGAGTAACCATTTCTCGTTGTGATGTTGGACTCCATGATTGAGAAGGGAGCCCCACTCTGTCCCATCTCCTGCCAAGGCCTCCCAAAGGTTTGGGTCAATTCCAGAAGCCGCCATATTCTGCTGACAACTTTGAAGCATAGTTTCAGGCACCCTGCTCTTCTCTCCCCACCTGCAATTTGCCTGTACAGGATGTCCTTTGGGATGCACCCATCTTCCATCCTGCAGAGATGGCCAAGCCAGTGTAGGCACCGTTGTTTGAGTCGTGCAGTGATGGTTGACAGGTCGGCTTTGCCACTTGATGTCAAGGATATGCCAAAAACAGCATAGGTGGAAGCTGTTCACTGCCTTGGAATTACCAGTTCAAAAATGGACTAGGTCCCATCGTTTCCAGGTCTTCCAGTAGCAGTCATCAGACATTTTCCTCCTTCACTGTGTCTGGCGCAGTTAACTGCAGTACAGTTGGCACGTGCTACAAAGTAGAGAGCGGGGATGAAAGATGCTATACACTTAAGCAGCTTAATCCACTTAATGAGTTTGCAGATAACCCCTCATTAGAGTAATGTAAGTACCAGGTAGATGAGACTGGCATTGTGTTTTGTAGTTCGGCAAATTATGCAATTAACCTTTATGCATATCAGCAGAGTGCTCTGCATATCTACAACGCTTTGAGTAAATCCAGCAGTATTGCTGTCCCAGGGGGTGGGTGTTATCGGGAAAGCCTGTTAGAAACTAGCTAAAAAAGTTATTAGTAGGTTTAATGCCAAGCCCAGTGGATTTGCACTGCCACTTTTGACGGTTGTTGTAGCATTAAGGAGACAAAGGAGCCTTTCTCTTAGCTCCATTACAATGTGCAGTGACCCTGCTTAATTATGAAAGAGAGCTAGCAAGATTAGCCACCAGATTTAGCAACGTATCTTTGCTTTTATGGCATGCAAAGCTGTTTCCGGCACCTTTGCTCCAAATTAGCTGCCTTTCAAGTCCTGGTGTCGTTATGTACCACGTTGAATGCATTTTCCTGGACATATCAAGTCCACGTAGTTCTTAAAATGACTTATGAATGGAGGTGGCACGTTGCAAAGAGTTTATGCCCATTAGTTACCCAGTAAGACATGAATGCGTCAAGGTAGAAAGCCAGCCAAGGTCTTCGCCAAGAGTAACCAATTCTTGCTTGTAAACTAGCACTGCGATGAGGGGTTGATGATTAAGTGACTCCTGACCCATGGAGAATCACTCGTAGCTTCCCTTGACTATCGAGGCCTAAACCAGAGCAATACCTGATTACAGCTGGAGTCGGTCATGTCACCTACAGGCGAGGTGGCCATTCTGAGATTCAGTTTTCAGTTGCTTAGGAAAAACATGTCAAACCTAGATGGTTTGGCCTGAAAATTTCCCGTGTTGGGTGTCTCATCCCTTTGATATTTTGTTTAAGGTTTTAGGGAAAAAGAGAACAACTATTCATAGAATCAGATAACAGGAGGGTTGGAAGGGACCTCAGGAAGTCGCATCAAGTCCAGCCCCCTGCTCCAAACAGGACCAGCCCCAACTACATCATCCCAGCCACGGCTTTGTCTACTTGGGTCTTAAAAAGCTCCAAGGATGGAGATGCCACAAGCTCTGGGTAGCCTGTTCCAGTGCTTCACCACCCTCCTAGTGAGTGAGTTTTCCCCAATATCCAACCTAAACTTCCCTGGCTTCAGCTGGAGCCCATTGCTCCTTGTTCTACCATGTGCCACCACTGAGAACGGGCCAGCTCCATCCTCTTTGCAACCCTGCTTCAGGGAGTTCATAGAAATCATAGAAACGAAGGGCTGGAAGGGACCTCAGGAGGTGACATCTAGTCCAACACCTGCTCCCAGCAGGGCCAGCCCCAACTAGATCATCGCTCAAAGCAGGATCATCCCCAACTAGTTAATGGCTGCTATTAAATCCCCCCTCAGTCTTCTCTTCTCCAAACTAAATAAGCCCATTTCCCTCAGCCTCCTGACAAGGCGTGGGCTCCCCCAAACCATTCTCATTGCCCTCTGCTGGACTCTCTCCAGCTTATCCACATCCTTTCTATAGTGGGGGGCCCCAAAACTTGACACAGGACTCTAAATGTGACCTTCCCAGTGCTGAACAGTCTCTTCCCTTGATCTACTAGCAGCATTTTTCCCAAGAGGATTAGGGAAGAATTGATTGCTGTGCCCACATTAGACCACTCTTAAGTGTTTCGTTGAGTCATTAGAGACATTGGGTGTTGGCTGCAGCCTGGGATGGGGACTGGGCTGTGCCTAATGCTCCTGCTGGGACTCAAACCCAGAGGTTCATGGCTAGAGGGTCTTGCCCCTCTGCTCAGGGTCAGACCGATTGCCGTATCTGGGGCCAGGAAGGAATTTTACCTCCGAGTCAGATTGGTGCAGACTTGGGGGGTTGCCTTTCTCTGTAGCAGGAGCACGGGCACATATTAACAACCTTTAACGGCAGCAGGACGTTGGCTGCCGTGGTTCTCTGCTTGTGGCAGGTTCGGGTGCGATGTCTGCTGTTGTGTCCATAAGAATTTAGATTATGCGTGTGTATAGGACGGTTTGGACAGGACTGATCCAGCCGCAAGCAGGGGGGTTGGATTAGATGCAACCTCTAAAGGTCTCTTCCAGCTTTATTTCTCCACGATTACTTTTGGAGCAAGGGAGGCAGGGAGGGCAAGAACTTAAAAGGCTTGCCGGGGAGGGGAGATTAATGAGAGCAGTGGCCAGGAGCAGGATGTTATAGAGGTAGGATCTCACGTATTGGGGCATCCTCCTTCCTGGACTTGGAACGGACCTCGGGGGCTCTCGGGAGAGTTTGTGGTCTGCTTTCCTTCGACAGTCTCGTGCATCTGGTAGCGATGCCCACGGCTAGAGGTAGGCATGTGTAAGCTCATTAGACCAAGCTGCAGAGATGGCTCTGGTTTGGCACACCCTGATCTAGTCTGGGTATGAGGCTTCTCTCGGGTACCAGCACCTGTTGTTTAAACACTTAATGTCCTTTTTCCCGTAATTCCCTGCGGCGGCAATCGACTCTGGTTAGGCCTGAGTTAAGGGTGGCCACATAAAAGTATTTTCCCCCCCCACCCACCCCCGCTTGTGTATACCATTTAATAACCCTCCCCGTTCGTGCTCTGGGGTGGGGTGAATCGGGGTTGTACAGTGATTGTGGGGGCCGGTGCCTCGTTCTGTGTGGAAAGCTGTAGACTGAATGAGGCAGGAGATTGGTGGAGGGGGTAGGGTTAAGGGGGTGGCAGGGAGGACAGCGGCCTCATGCATCTGACAGTGAAAGGCTATTGTAAAAAGCAAGATTCAACCCCAAAGACTGCTTCCTCCCCACCCCTGGGGCTTTTTACAGAGGGTTGCTCACTGCCCGTGCCAGTCTCCAGCTTCAGACATCTGGCAAAGATTTGCATTAGCACTGCATGCCAGTGAAATCAATAGGAGCTGGGCACTACAGCAGGAAAGGGCTGTTGGAGTGCAAAGTCTTCTGGAAAAGCAGGGCCCGGGCCTTGGGAGTCGTGGCAGAGACCCGGACTGCGGTTCCCGGATGCGCCTGGGCCAGTAGCCTGAGCTGGTCTCTCTCCCTGAAGCTCAAATAACGTGAGCAAAGTCCCAAGCTAGTGTTTGGAAGGGGGTCCGTTATAGCAAGACCCTGCTAGGAGTTCTCAGGAGGGCGATTCGGTGCTTATATACAGGACAAGCATTGGAGGGCGTGGGTTCGTATAGGGCGGGAAGCCACTCGTATAGGTAAAAGGTAACTCAATAACCCAGTCCCTAAAGAAGCCCAGCATCAGCGTGGAATGGAAAAGCGTATCCTAGTCCATATACACAGGGTGGGGGCTAGTCAAGGTGTTGCAAAGCCTGGATGCTCTTAAGTGGCGTGCGGGGCGGGAGAAGCTGTATATTTGTTGTAGACGCCTTTCTGTGTTGCTGCGCGATCCGTGACACTGACTCCCCTTGCTGTCTGATTGAGCAGGTGTTCTGGCGCTCTGGGCCCTAATCACGCATGTGATGTATGTGCAGGATTACTGGAGGACCTGGTTGAAAGGGCTGAGGTTCTTCCTCTGCATCGGGATCCTCTTCTCAGCCCTCTCCCTGGTGGGATTCTGCACGTTCCTCGCTCTGGCCATCACCAAACACCAGTGTAAGTAGGCTCCAGCCAGGGTGGTCGGGGTGGCATTAGCCCAATTGTGTGTTGGGGGAGGGTGGGGTGGAAAGACTCGAGCTTACGTGACTGGGTGGAGGTCACATCCAGTGAACCTCTGGCTTTGTGGGGCTAGGCCTGGAGACATTTCATGAATCTGCCTTGCACTTGCTCAAGCTGTCTGCCCTTCTCAGCCTCCGGTGCCCTGCAGATCTCTTAAAAACAAAACCCCAGGATCCCATCAAACAGACTGGCATTATACCAGAGAGGCAGGATCCTTGCCCCGGTGACTCGTGAACACGATACTGGCTGGGGAGACCTCACTTTCTAGGGATCCACATTGAGCATGGGCCTAGCCCTGAGCAACCTGCAGTCCCGTCCCGCGGAGATTTGGGTGTCTGCTCTCTGCTCTTGTCTGTGCCTGCTTGAAATGCTTGTGCCTGGACCTTTGATTCCCACACCGCTGTGCCTCCTTTGTACTCCAGAGCAGGGTGCCAGAGGTCTCAGTTGCTTAACAATATGACCTTAATGTAGGAGCCTTTGAAGGCCCCAGAGATGGTAGGAAGGATCGACTTTAGTAGTGGGAGGGACAGAAAGGGGCTGGTTGATGTACACCGTATGAGCAAGGTGCTGATTTTGAAATGGCATTTAGCAATGCTGAGCTCTCCTGTGAGCCATACAGGACTGCATTTGCAGGTGCTGGAGCCGGGGAAAGAGCCCTTTGCACCCACTCTCTCACGCCAGGCTGCATGCTGGCAGTTATTTCCCCCTGGCTCCCTGAAGCCTGCACAGGGCAGGTCGCCAATTCTGGAGCTGGCAACGTTCGCGTGTGTGAAGCCTGCAGTTCTTCACGTTTGGGCTTCCCCCTTAGCTCGTTCACATTAAGTGAAGCACTGGCAGCTCCAGGTGAGGCTGTGGGGGTCAGATGAGAGAATTGTAGAAAATGAGAGTGGGAAGGGACCTCAGGATGTCCCATCTAGTCCAACCCCCTGCTCAAAGCAGGACCAGCCCCAACTACATCATCCCAGCCAAGGCTTTGTCTAGTTAGGCCTCAAAAACCTCCAAGGATGGAAATGCCACCACCTCTCTGGGGAGCCTGATCCAGTACTTTACTGCCCTCCTCATGAGAAAATTTATCCTAATATCTAATGTCAACTTCCCTTGCTGCAATGTGAGCCCATTGCTCCTTGTTCTGTCATCTGCCACCACCGAGAACAGTCCAGCTCCATCCTCTTTGCAACCCCCCTGCAGGGAGTTGAAGGCTGCTATTAAATCCCCCTGTCTTCTCTTCTCCAGACTAAAGAAGCCCAGTTCCCTCAGCTTCTCCTCACCAGTCATGTCCCACAGCCCCCAAGCCATTTTCATTGCCCTCCGCTGGACTCTCTCCAATTTGTCTACATCCTTTCTGTAGTGGGGGCCCCAAAACTGGACACAGGACTCCAAATGTGGCCTCACGAATGCAGAATAGAGGGGAAGAATCACTGCCCTTGATCTGCTGGCAGTGCTTCTACTAATGCAGCCCAGGCTGCCATTAGCCCTTGGCAACAGGGGCATCCTATTACGAGAGGAGCACGTTTCCAATGCCAGGCAGGCATGGAGCAGTGTCTCTTGCCAGTCACTGAGCAGCACTGTTGTACTGCAAGCCCTGCTGTCCTCCCACTGCCCTGCCCCCAAGGTTTCCCATAGCCTCCCTTTGCGTCGTTGGCAAGGTGAGCATAAAATCAGACCAGTCAAGCTGGAAGGGAGCTCTGAAAGGCACATCTAGTCCTGCTTCCTGCTCAAGACAGGTTCATCCCTACCCAGATGGTCCCTGTCTAACATAGTCCTAACACAACACAATCGGCCTTGTCACAAAGGCCCATTGCCCAAAGGACACCAAAGCACCCAAACCTGCCACAGATAAAGCTGAGGTAAATGCTGCTTCATGGGGTGTTAAGTGCACTGGAGCCAAAGATGAGGGTCAAGCCCCATGCTGCAGAGAAAGGTAAACCCTCCAGAGTCTACCAGTCTGACCATGGGGTGAAACTCCTTCCAGATTCCCCATTGTGGTGATCACAGAAAATGAGGGTTGGAAGGGACCTTGGGAGGTCACATCTAGTCCAACCCCCTGCTCAGAGCAGGACCAGCCCTAACTAGATCATCCCAGCCGAGACTGTGTACCTGGGTCTTAAAAACCTCCAGGGGTGAAGAGTGCACCACTTCTCTAGGTAGCCTGTTCCAGTTCTTCACCACCCTCCTAGTGAGAGTGTTTCCTAATAGCTAACCTCAGCTTCTCTTGCAGCAACTTGAGACCATTGTTCCTTGTTCAATCTGACCCTGAGTGGAGAAGCAAGACTCTCTAGCCAGGACCCTCCAGGAGTTAATGCCAACAGGAGCACTAGCACAGCCCAATCACAATCCCATTTTAGCTGCAGCCGATACCCAAAGTATCTGAGGAAGATGGCAGGGGGAGGGACCCTAAACCCCAGCATGATACCAGCCCCTGTTGTGCACGTGGGATTCATCTCTGTCCTCACAAGCTGCACAAATGGGGGGTCTGTGTGTAACCAGATCCTTTTCTCCCCTAGCCCTGACTGACCCCAAGAGCTACTACCTGTCATGCGTCTGGAGCTTCATCTCCTTGAAGTGGGCCTTCCTGCTCAGCTTGTACGCCCACCGGTACAGGAACGAGTTTGCAGACATCAGCATCCTCAGTGACTTCTAAGGTCTGGATTTCGATCCCGTTGGAAGCTGCCGGATGTCTGGACGGGCTCTCAGGGGCGCTGCCCGGGCGCAAGGCCTGTGAGAAGCAGAACGGGAGCCCACGCGACTCTGCTTGGCTCGGCTGTCTGTAGCTGGGGTTTTTCTAATTGCTTTTATTCAACCACTTACAGTTTGGCTAATCCTGTCAATCTCGTGTGTTCGTTGCCCTCCTGGGAGCCTGCGTGTTTGGTTGTGAGACCAGAGGTGCCATCTGCTCGCACACAGCAGGCCCCGATTCACTGCACACATCTCCCTGCTCTCATAGCCCCTGGGAGCTCAAACAGGAGAGAGGTCTGTCACCCCACGAGCTTATGGATGCAGCCCCTGGTTCTGGATGGGGTGTCCTTGCCTTGTAGCTGGTGACTTGCTAGCCTGCTCCAAGAAGGTGCCCTCGATGTATCTAGTGAGGAGTCTTGGCATGGGAAAGGAAGCAGGTATCTGGCATGGCTCCATCCTGGCAGAGCCAAGGGCAAGATGGCTATATTAGGGAGAGCCTCGTGTTTCCCGCTGGCTGGTAAGCAAACTCGCAGGTACATCCTAGGCAGACCAGACCCTTCTCACAGGTCTGCAGCATTTTAACATGCTTTTTCCTTTAAGCTCTCCCGCCAAAGTGTAACCTGAGCTCTCCACTGCCATGTAGAGCAGAGGTAAGAAGGCAGAGGCCTACAGCACCAGGTGTCTCCCAGCACTATCAAATGCAGATCACTTTGCTGCAGATAATTAATATGTGCTCCATGTATTGGGGTTAGATGAGCTGCCTTCGAACTCTGAGCATCCAAAGCTGTTCGTTTGCAGACGCTCACACCCAGATGCATAGCTCAATCAAGTCCAGCACGTAGGCTGAGCTCTTTGAGTCTCAGAAGGGTCACGAATGCGCACATTTAACTCTTTTAAAAAAACAATCTTCACCTTACTTGTCCTGAAGCATTTAACAGGTGTCGCTCGTCCTTCGTTTCTGTAGCGAGTCATGTTCTGTTTCACTGCAACCTTTCAAGCAGCACTACACAGCGTTTGCTTTCGCAGGTACACGCTCCACCACGGCTGTTGGTGCTGAGTGGTTCCAGCTAACGTAGGGAGAGACGGGCAAGAGCTGGGCACATCTGGATCCTGCGTAGGCCAGGCCAGTTGTGAATTTCTGGGTGCCTCTCAGTGGAGGTGGTGGCTTCTAGCTGGGTCCTGACATAAAGTTTAGTAGTCACTAGCCGTGTAGATGGGCTTTAACCTTCTAGCCACCTTCTAGCAGGCCTGTTTGCCAGGTAGAAGTGGCAGTGTGGGCACATGGCCCTTCAAAAGAAATTCCTCTGTCAACAGATTTTGTTTTCCAAGTGGGGAGGAGAGGCAAGTGGGTAGATGGCAGCAAAGAGTGGGCAGAGCCTGACAGCTGCTCTCAAAGCGCCCAGTCGTGGCACCAGTTATAAAGTTGCCTGTTTGTATCCCACTGCCAACACCTTCCTGAGCGCGCTGTCAGCCTGTGCAGTGGGAGATGGCTGGGACCTGGCCAGGGGTCAGAGAGTGCCGGTGTCTGGCTTCACAAGACTGTGCTGAGGCCACACTGGGCAGTATCACGCAGCACCCTCTGTACTAACTGGCTGCCCCATACCTCAGGGCTGTGTTTCTGGGGAGAATTTATCATCTCCCGCACACATCCGAGGGCCCTGACATCTCTCACTGCGTGGCTTGACTGTCTGCAGCTTAGAAAATCTTCCTGCTTTGGCTTAGAAAATCCCTGGCTCGTGCAGAGAGTTGATTAGAAATGATCAGGAAATCCAAGTGATTTTCAGTGTCTTGGAGATCTGCTGAATAGAAACCCCCACCCCCAGAGAGATCCCTGGCTAAGTGAAGCCAGCTCCAGGGCAATACAGTGTCCCTAATGTCACACCTGCCCCAGGGCGGAAATGCTGGCAGAGGCCGTGGTCTGCAGCAAGCCTCTGGTTCCTGGGATTTATCTTGGGTAGCCACGTTTACCTCCGAGTAGTCAGGTTATGTGGCTCCAAGGAGGGATCCTACCCCACAGCCCTCGAACGCAGAGCTCCGCTGTGCCCCCCCAGGTTGGACACGTGCTTCCCTGGTCTCATTAAATAACCCATCTTAGATCCACTCGATCACAGCGCCCGTGTTCAGAGCCCTCCCCTGGGAGCTGTTCGCATATCAGGGCTCCTCCAGGCCACAGCAGTTTGCCTCAGATTTCTCTCTCAAGCAGTCTTTCCCCTGTCCCCTCGCCAGCACCCCTTGGACAGGGTCTGTAAATGCACAAAGGGTTTCTATCCTGTGGCCACACTTTGTGTGCACGCACACTGCATGAGAACCGGGGTCCAGAGAGGGGCATCATTGGCAGCGGGGGTTTGTTCTGTGTATCCCGTGTCTGGCGTTGTACTGACCTGCACTGTATAATGTGTATGTGACATCGTAGCAAGCGCTGAAATACAGTATTCTCTTCTCTCCGATTACGTGTCTGCGGTGATTCAATGCCCCTGCGCCACGGGGCTGGACTCTTCTGTCTTGCTGGAGGGATTGGAAGTGAGGCACAAACAGCACTTTTGGGGGGCTCCAACGTCTTGGTAAATACACTCCCTCTCCCACCCCACCATGCCTATACCGTGCTGTAACTCAGCACTGGGCCAGTCTTGCTCTAGGACTTGTGCCTCTGCTTGGCAGCCACAAGCAGCTGTAAGCCCCTGGGCTTTGATTTAAAGAGGCAGTGAGGCGCTGCTTCGTTCGACATGGTCTCGCCTAAATTTTGGGCGTGCGCTGCCGTGCCCCCCCCAGCAGATTCCAGGAGAGCCGTGGATCCAGAGCGCCATGCCTAAAAAGGGAGACATCACGGGGCCTTCTAGCCAGGATGCCCAGCCGCAGCACATGTGGCGCAGACAGCAGGGGTGCCTGGACCCCTGCCCTCTCCTGCAGCAGGGAGACCTTTGTGCAGCTCCTGGGTGCCATGCTGATGGGTCTGGGGCTCAGGGCAGAGCCCCTGTGTTGATCCAAGCACAAGAGTCCATCCGGGATGGGCTGGACACCACAGTGCATCCTGCTGATCTCTGCGTGAGCTCTGCTGGCCCCTGTCAATGGCAGCAGAGCAGGCCCCAGCCCCAGCCGGCTCTTTACATCCCTGTGTCGAACCCGTGGCTGTTGCTCAGGGGCTTCGTGTGGAGGCATATTCGTGGGTCCCAATGGGGCTGCACTGCCGACGTCCTGCAAACCCCTCTGAAATGGCCCCTCTCCCTGGCTGGGATCTGGGGGCAGCAGCTTCGCATCCTTCCCCCGCTGCGACTTCCCAGGAGCCGCAGCCACAGCTGCAGCCCACACCAAGGAGAGGCCGGGCCAGGAGCGCCAGGGTGTGCGTGGTCATGAGTCTTGCATCTCCTTCCCATCCCGGCTTAGAGTCAACAACGAGGCAGAAATAACCATCTCCCAGCTGTGGCCAAGGCAGACTCAGCACAGGACCCAAACAGCCTTGGTGTGGCTGCCCACGTGACCTCCCCGGGTGCTCTGCATGTACATGTCCACGCACCCATTGTGTGCATGCGGGCCTGTTGCGCAGGACCCAGCCAGCTGGCTGGGAACATGGCATCCAGTGTGGCTGCCTCGGGGCACTTTGAGCACAGCAGGATCACGTCCATCAGGCGCCATGTCCCCAAGGCCAGCCTGCTGCCAGCTGCCCTCACAGGTGTGCGCACATCTGGGACAAGCCAGCTGATGCCTGGGTGTGCACAACACCTGCATGTTCCCCAGCATCGGCCGATCCCCACCTCCTGGCCTGCAGTGTGGACCTGCACTGGAACCCAGCGGCCTTCACAGGCACATAGACAGGTGTGTCACGTGTTAAGGGCATAGGAACAGCGATAAGAACATGCGGTGCGCGTGAGGCCTTCCTAGAGCCGACCCTCACATCGTTCAGTCTCTTCCACTGGCCAACACCCGTGCAAGTCCCTTGGGGAAGCTCTGACGTGGACATAGCTGCTGGGCTGCTTTTTGCCGACTCCCGTGCTGCCTGGACAGGGGAGGGCACGCCGGGTCTGGCCTGAAGCGGGTGAATTAATCGCCCCTGCTGTAAACACAAGGTCTTTGCCTCCGGGACCTCCCAAGCGCCAGAATGAGAACTGGCCGGGGGCTGGGCAGCGAGGGGGCCATGCGTGTGTGTGCTTGTGCACACATGTGTCCTGTGTGTGTTGACGTGGCGTGTTCGGTCTCCAGTTCACGCAAGGGAAATTGAGGCCTGGAGTGGAACAAGACAGACAGGTTGCATGGGGGTGCCGGGCCACGGCTATGGTCAGGGCCCCTTGGCTCCCCGGTTCAGGGCTGACTCTTCTGGCTTGGCGGTGGGGGGCGGAGAGGAGGCTTCGCATGTTTGTTCCCCTTCATCTGCTCTGTCCCAGAGCCAGAGAGCGTGAAGGCTTGGGGGGGGGGGTGTAATTAGGACATGTGGCATTCATTTCGGTGCAGCTCTGGAACGGCGATGCCGCTTTGATGCTGTTCCTGCAGGAGGAAGGATTCCAAGGCTCCGCAGCCCGCGGTGAAAAGCACCGGTCGCAGCTCCGGTCTGGCTCCAATTACCAGTGTGATGAGTTTGTGGGGCTCAGCTGCATCCTGAGTGTAGTCACGGAGGGGCTACATCATGCAGGACCCCCACTCACCCCCTGGACTGCCCGGCAGCTTGCTCTGGAGCAGCTCTGGGTTGAAACAGCCAAGGGGCCCTGGGGCTGAGCTGGCAGGGGAGTGAGGGGCATCAGCAGGGCGGTGCCTAGGTCACCCCGGGCTGAGAAGCCCCCGCAGAGCTGGCTGGGGCTCCTGTCCAGGGCAACGTGCCTGAATGGGAAGCACCGTCCCTGGGCAAAGCCCCCATGAGACCCCCCATAGTGTTGGCCACTAGTCTTCCCAGCAGGGCCTGCAGACTACGATGGGGTCAGCTCGGGTGTAAACCTCCAGCCCGGAGACCTGGCAGGGGATTCAGCATTCGCTTCCTCGACCCAAAGCCAGGGCTGAGCTGGAGCCAGACTCCCCAGCCACTGCCTTGGGCTTGCACGGGGGAGACGGATGCTGCTCACAGGGTGCGTGGCCCCCGGGAGGCAGCCGTGTCCTTAATACACAGGGGCCACGGCCGCGGCTCCGGAGCTCTGATGCACAGGGTTAGGGACCAGGCCTGGCTGCTGTATTAGTCTGGGGGTAACTATCCAGGCTTCTCCCCCGCACCAGCCATGTGAAGCAGGGAGACTCTGTCACGGGGCCAGGATGCTCAAGGCTGGGGGCTGCAGACGGCTCCGAGTAGTGCAACCACCCCGGGGCATTTCTGGTGTGTGAAGGGGCCTGAGTCGGGGTCCAGACAAGAGGCAGAGCTGCTATACGGCTTGAGGACACTGAAAGTCATGCTTGGGGTCACACAGGGGCCCATGGCTAACTCCTGCTACAGTAAAGGGCTGAGGCCACGGAAGGGGGGCGGTGGGCTGTGGCATCAGAGGAGACGGAGGCCCCAGGCTCCCTGTCCCCTTGCACCCAGCTCCACCTTTTCCCGGCAGCTCTCTCTGCCCCAGCAATTACTATAAGCACTCAATGCTGCAGAGACCCCTCCTTGCCGCAGCCTGGTTTCCCAGCAGTCTGCACCCAAAATGTGGCGTGGCTGGACGCTTCTGAGTGGCACGGGTGGGTGGGCTGGTGGGGGGCCAGCTGCACCCATGGCTGTATCTCAGCTGACCTGGAGGCTCCGGCCATGCTGTCCCCTCCCCACAGAGCCACATCTCTGTGGCTGGGAGCCAGGTGGGTCCAGGTGCTCGTGGGGCATGAGGGGGTCAGGGCGGAGAAGCAATCAGACCTCGTGGCCCAGGGGAACCTTGCCAGCCCTGCTCCGAAAACACCAGCCCTGTATGTCCCCATAATTGCTCGGATGAGAAACTAAGGGCGCGTCTACATGTGCACTTTAATGCGCATTAGCCTATTTTAATGCGCATTAGCCTATTTTAATGCGTATTAAAGTGTCGCAAAAAAAACTTTAATGAGCGTTAAAATAGGCTAATGCCGCTTTTCTAGCAACTCACAATGGAGGTACTCAATTGAATGCACTTTCGAAAAAGTGCGTTAATGAGCATGTGGACACACCCTAAGAGCCCCGGGCACCAAAGACTGCACCAGGTTTGGGGACTGAGATGTGCCCACATCCAAGCTCAACTCCAGCCCGCCCCGTGGGTCAGCCCAGCCAGCCCTGGGCTCCGTAGGTGGCTGCCCGAATGTGGCCCAGGGGGACGAGGGCAGTGGGGACCCCCAGGCCACGGGGCCCAGGCAGTCGCGGCTCAGGGTTGCTTCTACCCAGCAGCGACGGGTGAGCTGCCCCCCAAGCTGCAGCAGATGCAGCAGCATGGCTGGGTCCCCCTTCCTGCCCCCCTCCCACCCCTCCACATGTGCTGAGTCAGCGCATACTTGCCCTTTGTTTATGGCTCTTGCTTGCATTAAAAAAAAATCCCCCAAATTCATAGCAGCAGCTCACACGCCATGGCATGGCCCCAGCGCAGCAGGAGGCTGCGGCGTCATCCAGGGGCTGGGAGAAGCCCTGGGCATTCGCCCATGGGAACCCTTGGAGCAGAGATGCTGGCACCGCTGTGGTCAGCACTCCTGGCAGGGCAGAGCCAGAGGGTGGGACAAGAGAACCGGGTTGGCCACAGCCCACGGGCACTGCTTGCAGGACTGGCTGTGAGCAGGGTCCCTGAGCCAGGACAGGACCCGGGGGCAGGGGCATGATAGGAACCAGCAGCAGGGAGGGGAACGGAGGCGGGGTGACCACACCGTTTGCTTTGTCCCACCCTAACCCCATCAGGATCCTTCCCAGGACGGTGGGGAGGAAGAGCAGGGCCGGGAGACACCGAGCCCCGGCCGCTGGCTCTGACCAGCCCAAAAGCTGACGGGCCAGGCCCCTGAGGGCCGCAAGAGGACCTGGGGGGTGACTTTTAGAGACACCAGGTGAGCAAAGACATGACAGATGGAAGCAGAAATGGGGACAGTCACAGAACTGCCGGAAACAACCGCCTGGGACTGACCCCAGAAGATGGCTCTGGTTTGATCTGGGTGCAGGGCGATGGAGAGGGACAGGTCTCCCAGCCGTCTCCCTCCCCGTGTGCTCCGGGGTGGTGGCCAGGGCTGGATCCTTGTCTGCTGCTGGAGGAGCATCTCTGGGCCTCACTGTACATGCAACCCTGGAGCCTGCATCCTTCCCCTGCAAACTGGCTCTAT